TGATCCTGGAGTCCCGGGATCGAGTCCCGCATCGGGCTACCTGCTCAGCAGGGAGTCTGCTTCTCCCTCTCCCGCTCCCCCCTCCTGTGCTCTTTGTCTCTCTCACTCTCTCTCAAATAAATAAATAAAATCTTAAAAAAAAATAAATAAATAAATAAAAAAATAAAAATCTTAAAAAAGTATATAGTACAGATAAAACTATGATAGTGATGTATAAAGGAAAGGCATTATATCAAAGCAAGCATGCCAAGGGCGAAGAAACAGTGTAGACTGTCTATATGAGAATGTGGTTGACGGAGGCCCTTACTTAGTTCTGATGAAAAGAGGTTGATAGTTTTTTTCCATTTATTATACTCATCTACTCTGTTACGGGAGTTCTAACTCGTTACATCATTAAAGGGAGAAGAGAAAATAATCCTACTTAATTTCAAGTACCTTTTTGTTTTTGTTTATTATGTTTTATTCTCTTGCATTGAAAGCCTTGGGATAAAACCAATCTGGGCTTTGTACTCAAAGGCTTGATGCAAGAGAACCTGCCTGATGCTTTTTACCCCTGCATCAAGATCATTGGTTCTCACATTTTGGTGTGCGTCAAGATTATTACCTGGAAAACTTTTTAAAAATTCAGACTCCCAGGCCCCATCCCTAAGATTCTAATTGAGTAACTATGGGATGTGATCTAAGAATGTGCTTTTATTTTTTTTTGAAGATTTTATTTATTTATTTAGAGAAAGAACACAAGCGTGGGGTGGGGAAGAGCAGAGGGAGAGAGAAGCAGACTCCCCATTGAGCAGGGAGCCAGAGGCAGAAGCAGGCTGTGCACTGAGCAAGGAGCCTGATGCAGCGTTCGATCCCAGGACCCTGAGATCATGACCTGAGCCAAAGGCAGATGCTTAACTGACTGAGCCACCCAGGAGCCCCTAAGAATGTGCTTTTAATAAGCTTCTCAGTGATTTGAGTGCACTGGTTTGCAGACAACAGCTTGAGGCACCCTGACTGCTTTAGAATTTGGGTGGGAAACATTTTCATGGTTATTTTTGTTAGAAGTGGCACGTTTTGAATTCTTCAAATGAAAATGGAACAGGCAAAAATAATTCTATTTGTTGATTGCTTTATCTGTTTGTAAGCCACTATTGCTGACCATTGTTAAGAGATAAAATTTTACTACAGCATCAGTTCCAATACAATTCTTCAAGAACCCATCAATTTTCCTCTTAGGGTTATTCTAGGGTTTACATTTTTAATCTTTACTATTTGTCACATTCTTGAAAATTTTGTCTTTTTTCAGAAGCCAGGAAGCAACCACTTTCTAAGAAGACAAAGAAATCTCATGTTCACAATGAAGTTGAAGAAAATGACAGTGTTTTTGTAAAGCTTCTTAAAACATCAGGAGTTATTCTTAAAACAGGAGAGAGTCAGAATCAACTAAGTAATATTTTAATTTAAATCTTTTATCTGGGTTTAGTGCAGGGCTCAGAACTGAATCATGGATTTCCGAAATAGAGAGGCAGTGAAGATTAAAAATGGGAGCACCAGCCATCTTGAGACAAGGATGACAATGATACTGCTTTTTAGAGAACATTTTTATAGTCCTTGGTTCTGATTAATGCATGTTAAGTAAAGTAATTCTAATTTTTTATTTTTTTAAGTAATTAGTTTGGTTTTTTTTTAGAAAAAAATGTCATATACCAGTAGTACTTTGTGTTTTCTTGTGGAAAAATAAATTAATACTCAAGAGAATAATTAGATCTGTATTAGAGTGATTTCAGAAGAAAATTTATAAAGCCATTTAAAACCCTGCTTTTAGGGCATAGATTACTCCATTATTCTATATCTTTTTTAGAATACTTGGTAGTATCCTCTGTCAAAGCTATATCTGTTTTACCATGGGTTTAGAAAATTTGGCTCTGAAATTAGGTTAAAAATATCCTTTTTGGTTTCATAAGACAGGAAACTTACATCTTTAGGAAAATAAAACTATGGTTGGGAGATATTAAAGACTGGTGACCAACTGTTTTTTCATCTTAGCTGTGGATCAAGTTGTTTTCCAAAAGAAGCTCTTTCAGACTCTGAGGAAACATCCTTCTTATCCCAAAGTATGTGTTTCTTCCTGGTACTTTTGCTTTTGCCAGCACTACTCTGGAATTGGGAATATAAAGATGCTGGCATAAAGTTGAATGGACTAGAATGATTCTTAGCTAACCTATAGCAAACGTTAAACTAAAAATCTTACTCTTTGTTTTTTCATTGTCATTAAGATAATAGAAGAATTTGTTAGTGGCCTGGAGTCTTACATTGAGGACCAAGACAGTTTCAGGAACTGCCTTTTGTCATGTGAACGTCTGCAGGATGAGGAAGCCAGGTGTGGAGTGGAGGCTTGGAGTCTTGCTGACATTTAATCTGTTACAGTAACTGGATTGGGAGGTGGAGATGGGCGGGAGGAAACAATTTTTTTGAATTTCACTTTGTATTTATAACTGATTTTTCCTCAATTTTAGCCTAACCTTTAAATTATTAACTTATGGTTATGAGACTAAGAACCAGAATGTTTTCTAGAGTGTGTCGCATCTGTGTTGATAGAATTTTACCTCTCTACTTCTCCCTGTTTAAGAATCATCTTCTCGGGGCACCTGGGTGACTCAGTCGCTTGAGCATCTGACTCCTGTTTTTTGACTCAGGTCATGATCTCAGAGTTGTGAGATCGAGCTCTGTGTCAGGTTCTGTGCTCAGCTCAGGGTCTGCTTCAGATTCTCTCTCCCTCCCCCTCTTCTTTTCCCCCTGCTCATGCTCGCTCTCTCTGTCCCCCCCCGAAATAAATAAATTAATTAATAAAAAAAAAAAAAAGCCAGGGTGCCTGGGTGGCACAGTCAGTTAAGTGTCTGCCTTTGGCTCAGGTCATGATCCCAGGGTTCTGGGATCGAGCCCTGCATTAGGCTCCCTGATCAGTGGGGAGCCTGCTTCTCCCTCTTACACTCACCCTGCTTCTGTATGCGCTCACGCTGTCTCTCTCTATCAAATAAATAAAATCTTAAAAAAGAGCCATCTTTTCATGTTCTGTATTTCTAATATAACAGGATAGTTTCTCTTTAAATATTTTATATTTGGGACGCCTGGGTGGCTGTCAGTTAAGAGTCTGCCTTCTGCTCAGGTCATGTTCCTAGGGTCCTGAGATCGAGTCCTGCATCAAGCTCCTTGCTTAGTGCAGAGCCTGCTTCTCCTTCTATCTGCTGCTCCCCCTGCTTGTGGGCTCACGCGTTTGCTCTCTCTCTGACAAAAAAATAAAAATTTAAAAAAAATCTTTTAAAAAATTGTATATTTAACCAATTTTATGAAGAAAAAATGATAAAAACATTAAAACAAGGAAAACAAAATAGAAAAAAAATCTTTTTCTTTCTTTTTTTTTTTTTCAGCATAGGCACATCTTACTCTAAGAGCCTCATTAAATTGCTTCTGGGAATTGACATATTACAGGTGAGACTGCCACTTTTTCTGCGAACATTTGATGGATATGATTTGTGGTGTGTGCCCAAGTGTAAATGCCCGAGCACAGGGTCAAGTAGAGTTAACAGGGAATTTGGGTTTGCAATAGTTTACTTAGCCCCATTGCTGACATACATCTGGTAGGGCAATATCTGTGGCTTTGGACTGAGCTGATTAGCCCAGTACATTTCTTTGAAATCTCATTTATTCCCTCAGCCTCTGATTCCTGATTTGTAAAGCTTCCTCCCATGTGCTCTGAGTACCTTATATATTTCTGCCATATTCACAGCTGTATCATCTCCCGTTTCAATTTTTACTTGCTGATTAACTTGATTTTGCCCTTTTCCTCCTCTCTCTTTTAATATATTGAATAGACAGTGCTTTAACATGTTTTAAATGTTTCAAATTATAAAAAAAAAATGGAAAGTCTTTTCTTACCCTGTCCTCCATTTTTTCTCTTTTCTTCTCTCCCACTGTTAATCTTCCCACATTCCTATCCCTTCCTTTTCTTTGGAAATCTTCAGTATAATTTAGTTAGCTTACATTTAAGAGCCCTCTTATTCCTCTGGAGAGAAGTCTTTTCTTGCAAACTATTTGATAATCTTAAGGCTGCATTTCATAGGTTAACAGTTGTCATGTTTAATAATATTTTTGATGACTTGATTATTTTAGTGCTGCCTTCATAATCATTTGGTAATTTTTTAGGAGACACATCATTGATAAGTTTCTGTCCCAAAAGCTTATGTTCAAAATATAGGCAGCATTCAAGTGGCCATTCCTAAAATAAGAGGATTTCAATTATAGCAGGGTTTTCCTCCAAGAGCTCTTGTTGGAGCAAATTGTGGTTAATTATATATTTCTGTTGTGTATTTAAAGGCCATCTCCTAACTCCTATGTCTTCTTTTTTAGCCTGCCATTATCAAAACCTTATTTGAAAAGTTGCCAGAATTTCTTTTTAAAAAGTAAGTGGAATTATTCTGGAATGCTTAAATTACCTTTGTGTGCTTAAGTTTCTCTCTGAAAAGATCACTCTAAAACATCATTGGTTTCTCTGGAAATCATACTGATTATGACACCAGATTCTTAAGTGACTGCTAAAATTTTACTGGGGTCTTTTTTTGAAATATCATCTATTTATATGACTGCATGTTCCTAGAAGGATACACAATAAACTGTTAATAGTGGTTGTCTCCAAGGAGGGAAGCCAGCTGCTTGGAATCAGATGTTCTATGAATACTGTTCTTTGCCTTTTCAATTTTATAGTGTATGTGTACTAATTTTTTTTTAATTTGCTTTAAAAAATAACTAAGTTGGAAAAAAATGAACAACCTAATAGAAAAGTAGAAAAAGGTCATGAACAGACAATTCACAAAGAAATAACAAGAGCATCAAACATTTTTTCTAAATGCTCAGTTTCATTAATAATCAAAGATAAATTTAAAACAATACATACATTTTTTTCCACTCTCAAAGGATCTCCCTTATTGAGTGTAATCAACAGGCATGTTTATACATTGCTGATAAACATAATCAATTGGTTCAAGTCATTCTGAAGGGCAGTAGGTTGTGTGTATCAAAACCTTAGATTTTGTATACTCTTTAATGCTCAATCACGTCTTCTGATTTATCTTAAGGTAATAACCGAATGAAAATAGTAATGAATAAGATTACTTTTTAACAAAAAATTGTAAACAACTGAAATGTTCAGCTCTAGGGGATTGGTTAAGTAAATGAGGTACATCCCTGTAATAGAATATTACGTGGACATTAAAAATTATACAGAGGACTATTTAATGCCTTGCATTAATTTGAAAAAAAAAAAGGTCAGGTTACAAATCAGTATTTACAGTTTAGCCCAGTATTTTATTAAAAAAAAAAAATACAGGGTCCCTTGGGTGGCTCAGTCAGTTAAGTATCGGACTCTTGGTTTTGACTTGGGTCATGATCTCAGAGTTGAGATCAAGCCCTGCATTGGGCTTCATGCTCAGCTTGGAGTCGGCTTGGAATTTTCTCTCTCACTCTTCCTCTGGTCCTCCCTCCCATTCCTCCCTCCCTGCTGTGCATGCATCCTCTCTCTTAAATAAATAAAATCTTTTAAAAAATACATATACCATACTATAGATACATATACGTATTAATAACAGACCTCTCTGGATGACAGGATTATAGGTTATTTTTACTTTCTCATTTTTAACGTGTTTTTTTCCTAGGTTTTGTATATAGTAATAATACACTTAAAGATAGATCTTTACAGGGCGCCTGGGTGGCTCAGTTGGTTAGGCGGCTGCCTTCAGCTCAGGTCATGATCCCAGGGTCCTGGGATCGAGTCCCACATCGGGCTCCCTGCTCGGTGGAGAGCCTGCTTCTCCCTCTCCCTCTGCCTGCCTCTCTGCCTACTTGTGCTCTCTCTCTCTATCTCTGTCAAATAAATAAATAAATAAAATCTTTAAAAAAAAAAAAAAAGGTCTTTACAAATTTCTGCTTTCCCTGAATGGCTCACATAGATGCTTTATGTCTTTTTCAGTAGTTAATTTGACTGCACTAAACAAAAACTGAGAATGCTGTCAAGAAAAAAACTGGAAGTAGTTCAAAACTTTCCACATAGAAGGTTGGGAGGAAGGCAGATGCTGTCATTTGGGGGGAAATAATAATAAGCAAGCCAACATTTTTTTTAAAAAGATTTATTTATTTATTAGAGAGAGCACACTTGCTCACATGCGAGGCTGCACATGAGTGGGGGGAGGGGCAGAGAGAGAGAGACTCTTCAAGCAGACTCCCCCTGAGCTTGGAGCCCCTTATGGGGCTTGATCTCACAACTCATGAGATCATGACAGGAGCCAAAGCCAATAATCGGATGCTCAAACAACTGAGCCACCCAGATGCCCCTAGCATTTCTTCATCTATAAATGGTTTTCAGTACTTTCACATAGTCTAATTTGACCTTCTATGTTTCCAAAGTAGTACATGCTTGCTTTTTTCAATACTTACCACTTTTCTACCTTTTACAATTTTTCTTGTTCAGTTTGTTCACGTTTATTGCCTTTATTTTTTTGTTCACATTGTTATTAAGAAATACTCTCCAGATCTTCCTTAACCTTTCTAAACCCTCCCCAGATGCAGCCACTGTTAAGAGTTTAGTGTATCTTCTTCCATCTTAACATATATGTGTCATGCTTTTCTTGTATCATCTGTGTGTCTAACACAGCTTGCAATATGTAAATGTTCAGTAAGTGTTAATTGAATGTCTGAAATGGTTTGTGCACTCTTAATGTTTGCTGTTGTGTAAATCAGAAAAGCTAAGTTTCTGTCTTCTTATCCTAACATTTCAGTGTGAACAGTGATGGACTTAACATGCCTAGACTCATCATTAGTCAGCTGAAATGGCTTGACAGAATTGTGGATGGCAAGGTAGGCTTTAGGACTTGTTCTGTCTCTTGGATTTAGAGAGTCTGTTTTCCACACTTAACCAAACTTTTGGAATTTGCAGTGGTTTTTTTTTTCCCTTTTCTAAACTGAAAATTCACATTTTTCTATTTATCAGCTTTTTTCATCTTTCATAATTTGAGAATCATGGATATTTCACCCTTTAAATTTCTCCAGAAAAAAGAAATTTTTCTAATTATGATTACTAGATATCTATTAAATAAATATTTGGAAAGAAATTAGGTAGCTTTCAAAGTACACAGATGACTGTATTTTATTTCTCAAAAGCAGTGAGATCCCAGACCAACCTACCTTGCTGCAAATGTTTAATCTGATTACAAATGAGGAAAGTTTTAGGAAGTTTTTGCAATTATGTTATTTGTTATTAAGCACCTTGTTATGTTATTTGTTATTAAAATTGAATCTGTTTTGAGCCTAGTGTGTAAGGCCTATTTCTTTTCAGAGTTCTTTAAATCATTCTATTAATTTTTGTCACACATTCCAAGGCTAAATCTTTATTTGGAAGAACACGAGTTTTGGAATTTCATGTGGACTAGCATTTTATATTATTGTGTATTTACTGTATTATATTGTACTTATTGTGTATCTTTGGGCAATGCATATCCTTACATTTTAAAAATGGGAATTGTCGGGGCGCCTAGCTGACTCAGCTAGTGGAGCATGTGACTCTTGATCTCTGGGTTATGACTTTAAGCCCCATGTTGGGTGTAGAGTCTACTTTAAAAAAAAAAAAAGTAATTGTCACACAGACTCCATAGAGCTGTGAAGATTAAATGAAATAAAGTAGGGACGCCTGGGTGGCTCAGTCGGTTAAGCATCTGTCTTCTGCTCAGGTCATGATCCCAGCATCCTAGGATACAGCCCCATATCAGGCTCCCTGCTCAGTGGGGAGTCTGCTTCTCAATCCACCTGCTCGAGCCCCCCCTCTCTCTCCCTCCCTCTCAAATAAATAAATAAAATCTTAAATGAAGTAAAGTATATAACAGACCCAGTAGATAATAGACCATCCACAGTACTTGTTTTCTGTGTACCATCCCATGTGTGAAAATCTCTGGGTCACTTACCTCTGAATTTAGGCTTTGAGTTTGAATGTATGTATAGGTGCCATATTGTACATAAAATAATTCCAGCTCTACATTTCATGAGGAGGCAGTCTTTCTTTGTTCTGGGTAGTGTGCAACAATTCTAACAGTCTCCTTCATTGCAGGATCTCACCACCAAGCTCATGCAGCTGATCAGTATTGCTCCACTATACCTGCAGCATGACTTTGTCACCAGCCTACCTGAGATCCTAGGGGATTCCCAGCATGCTGATGTGGGGAAAGAACTCAGGTGGGTAAGCTCCCACTGTGGGAGCCTTAACACTGCAGAATGAAAACAGTAGTAGATCTACGGTCATACCACCCTGAACGTGCCCGATCTTGTCTGAAAACAGTAGTAGTAACGTATTCCTATTTATATAAAAGAGGATGGTATCTACCTTCCATGAGTAGGTGTGAGATTTGACTTGTTTTTGTAATAATGAGTATATATTTGGGTAGACCCATCTACTTTTTTTTTAAACCGTATAGTGGTTGTGAATATGAAGACTGGGTTAGGATTAGGCATATAAATTTGGTCTGTGGAGACCTAAATATGATCCATCTGTTTCATTAGCATTTCTTCCATCCAGGGAGTCCTCAGTTGTGACTGCATATCCAAATCATTTGTGGAGCTTATCAAACATCTGCATTTTTTGGTCCCTAAATGACTCATTGTGATGTACATCACATCAGACCCACTGCTAAGAGCATTGCTTACTATCATTTATGTGAAAAATAGTAATTGATAGGGCAGTAATTAAAGAAGGGAGAATAATACCCCTCTGTAGCAGGATTTGTTTTAATGCAATTTCCTGCTTACCCTCAAAATAGTTTTTAAAAATTCAGTTTGCAATACTTCCTTTTCTTTAGTTGTCTGCAAAGCTACCTCCAAAAATGTCCAATGATTTCTTGCCTTTGTACTTTTGGGTAGGATGCTTCCTCTGCGTATAGCGCTCTACCATCCCCTTTGCCTGCTTAATTCCCGCTTGTCCTTTTGTATAGCCTTTTCTTAGAATCTGTCACTGTTCTCTATTCTGTGTTCCTAGAATGCCTTGCATGTACATCTGTCATACTTCTCATATGTCACTATAATTGTTGTAGGTTTTCTTTTTCCTTTTCTCAGGACGGATATGTGCCCAACTCAAGAGTGGTTACCTCAGGGTAGTGGAGATGGTGAGGAAAGGGCTTCTCGTTTTTACTCTGTTGTTTGAATTTTCTATAATGAACATGTATTTTTTTTAAGATTTTATTTATTTGAGAGAGAGAGACAGCAAGCACGAGTCAGGGGGAGGGGCAGAGGGAGAGGGAGAAGCAGACTCCTTGCTGAGCAGGGAGCCTGATGTAGGGTTCGATCTCAGGACCCTGAGATCATGACCTGAGCCAAAGTCAGACGCTTAACCAACTGAGCCACCCAGGCGCCCCAAGCATGAATTTTTTTTAAATCAAAGCAATTTTTAGGGGCTCCTGGGTGGCTCAGTCAGTTAAGCGTCCTGCCTTTGGTTCAGGTCATGATCCCAGAGTCCCGAGATTGAGCCCCTCGTTGGGCTCCCTGCTCAGTGGGGAGTCTGCTTCTCCCTGTCCCTCTCCCTCCACCCCTCCCCCTGCTTGTGCTCTCTCTCTGTCTCAAGTAAATAGATAAAATCTTAAAAAAAAAACAACAAACCAATTTTTAACGAAATATACTATTAACAAGTTCAGTGGGAACTGAGTATGTCCTCTCTTCCCATATCTTGAGTGATTTTTCCGAGTAATTATCTGCCCAGCTCTGTTAAAAGTTACACAGCTTTTCTCTTTTTCCACCATGCACAGTGACCTTTTAATGGAGAATACTCCACTCACTGTCCCTATCCTGGATGTTCTTTCCAGCCTCCGACTTGACCCGAAGCTCCTGTCTCAGGTAGGAAGGACTCTGCTCTCCAGAAACAGAGCCAGCTTTTTTACTTCCCAGAACCAGTGTCAGTCATTACTTTGAAGCAGTTGCATATGAAAGGTTAATTTTGAAATGATACAGGGGCGCCTGGGTGGCTCAGTTGGTTAAGGGTCTGCCTTTGGCTCGGGTCATGATCCCAAAGTCCTGGTATAAAGCTGCATGTTGGACTACCTGCTCAGTTTCTCCCTCTCCCTCTGCCCCTCCCCTCCGCTCGTGCTCTCTTTCTCTCTCTCAAATAAATAAAATCTTTAAAAAATTTTTTGAAACGATATTGAATGACATTTCATCTCTTTTTCTCTTTGATGAACTTCATATGCCGTAGTATGATGGATTTGCTGCTCTGTTTCAAAGCAGTAAGTTTTAGTGGAAATTTCTATCTTGCATAATATTTACACACTGCTCCTCATAGGAATGGCTAATGGAGCCAGTGGAAAATTCAGGCTCTAAATTATAAGATAATAACACTTTTACAGTCATTATCTGTCTGTTTTTGAAGAAACTGTGGCATTAACAATTGAAAGCTTGTAATTTGGAATAAAATTGAAAATAAAAGGAGGTGTTTTTCTTCCTAAATTACAAGTGAGAAAACTGAGTGAGAGAAGTAGGTTTTCTAATTTAACCTAACAGGTCAGTACTAGGTTGAGATATTAACATAAAAATATTCAAGGTTTTTGTGCTTTTTATGTTTAGGTCCGCCAGTTGGTGATGGGTAAGCTGTTATCTGTGAAATTGGATGATTTACCTGTGATAATCAAGTTCATTCTTCATTCCGTAACAGCTGCAGATGCACTTGAGGTACCTTATTATTTCCCAACAAACACCAGTGGCATGCTAGATCCTTGGGAGTACAGAGTATAACGGTGGTGCCCTTCTGAAAGTCAGTAATGGAAAAGAGATGTACCTAGATGAAGATACATCAATATACATTATTTAAACTAATAGCTTCTAATTCTTATTTGTTCCCAAACCAATTGATAATGCTGATTAATCCAGATAGTATTCAGGGGATAGAATGGAACTAGCTAGATTTATTGTTGCATATAAGCCCTACACGGTTATATTTGCTATTTTAGTGTAATACCTCAAGGAATTCTGAAATTTTGAAGGGCATAACATACTATCCTTGCATTAACTATTTTCATCAACTCTCCTTTTCAAAATGCCTTGTCTAGGGGCACCCCGTAGCTCAGTCAGTAGAGCATGCGACTCTTGATCTTGGAGTTTTGAGTTTGAGCCCCATGTTGGGTATAGAGATTACTTAAAAATAAAATCTTAAAAAAAAAAAAAGCCTTGTCTAACATTTAGTGATTCTTCTTACTCAGTCTTTCAGGGGATTGTTATGGTTCTGCTGAAAGAGCGAACTGTGCCAATCCACTGTGAATGAGCAGAACACATAACTTAATATTTATTTTCCACAGGTAATTTCTGAGCTGCGGGAGAAGTTGGATCTGCAGCATTGTATCTTACCATCGCGGTTGCAGGCTTCCCAAAGCAAGTTGAAAAATAAAGGACAAAGGTATAATGTCATCGACAGTTACCACCCTTTTTCTCACATGGGCAAGGCAAGTTTTCTGACATTTATTCTGAAGCCAGGACAGTAGATCTTAATACTTGCAACTACAAATAATGGTAATAATATTGTTTGCATGTACCATCATACAGTGCTTCAAATCATATGTATGTGGTACATGGAACATGTGTGTACATGTATACGTTGGCATGTGGGGTGTATCCTCCCGGCTATTCAGATCAATCCTAGATAGACTACAGTACAAGTTTATTAGCCATTTTACACATGAAGTTGTGCCTTGGAACAGGCACTTGACTAGTAAACAAGAATCCAGATTTTATAAGTTCCTCTCTGGTAAATGGAAGAATGATTTTTTTCCCCCTCTGCTACTTGTAGTTCTTCAGGAAATCAAGAAAACAGCGGTCAGGACTGTGTTATTCTCTTCTTTGATGTAATAAAGTCAGCTGTTAGATATGAGAAAATCATTTCAGAAGCCTGGATTAAGGTGAGTGAGATCTTTTTTTTTTTTAGATTTTATTTATTTAACAGAGAGAGACATAGCGAGAGCAGGAACACAAGCAGGGGGAGTGGGAGAGGGAGAAGCAGGCTTCCCGCAGAGCGGGA